CGCGCGCCGCCGAGCCGGCCCCGAACGTGCACGCGAGAGCGAAACGGCGCTCCATGGAGATGTACGCGAGCGAGCGAGACGGCAACAGCGGGCTGGTCGACAACAAGGTGTACATAATAGTGTCGCGGTCCTGCGAACACCCAGACGTGCCACAGACTAAGCACGCGATCAGAGTGATGGAGTATTGGAGCCATATGGTGGTGAAGACTGTGCAGGGATCTGAGAAGGTAGGTATTTTTTTTATTTGTTTCTTTGGGTTCTGGTAGATCTGTATAAGTCTTCCCTTCGAAAACATGGCCCCCTTTTTTATGTGACAAAGTGTCATACGAGCTGGCGGTTCACCTGACGTTAAGTGACAACCGCCGCCCATGGCGCGTTTGCAACACCCGCAGGGTTACGGATGCGTTGTCACCTTTTAATAAAGCGGGCCCCGGCTACCTCACTCACCAGACGAAATGCAGAAGTGTAACATCTTACTTCAGGCCAGTGTTTTTTGAGGTCGTGGTAGTAACCCGGACGGACCTGCCCATTCGTGCAACAAACACTGTCGCGTGGTCCTATCACAGTAAAAGGTCCTACCCGTTACTGTATCTAACATCCTGTGTTGTAAGGAAGTATTGCATATATTACGTTATTAAATTTCACGTGGACAAAATAATCACACAAATACTTGTCCCGTGTGGGAATCGAACCGACGACCACCGGCGCCGAAGCCATTACGTTGGCAACTGCGGCACGGAGTCATCAAAGAGACTATCAGAGGGAGATGGTGGATAAGGGTACGTTTTGAATTTCGAACGTCTGTAATTCACGTCCCTCCCTTTAGGATGTAAATGTCTTGGTCATGTAGATTGGGTTTGGAGAGCAGCTGATGCCCGGTTCCTATATTCAACGAACTGATGTTAGTTACACAGCTTCGTAACTTTCATAACGACTTGTAGATTAAAGGAACGCTAGTAACTCACTTTCTGCAGGTAATGCAACGGCTCGTAAGGAAAACGCCTCGTTTTGTTAATATAGAAACTGGGCGTACTCTCCTTTTATCTAAAAGTTCGTTCGTTGAATATAGGAATCGGGCATCAGAATGGTCTCGTGTGGTCTTCTATCTCCTGCCCTTGTTCCACCTAGGCGAGCCCATACAATCGTGAGGGTCATGGTCTTGATACGATTAATTACTACCTGGCTGCAACCAACCTTGGAACAAACGCCTAGCTCCCAAATTATCTATTGGTCACACATACTACTCCGGTGTGGGAATCGAACCCACGGTCACTGGCGCCGAAGCTGATAGCTAAGCAATTAAACCACCAAGTTTTAATAGTAGATAATAATAAAAATTTTCAGGACATATTTTACACAAACTTAATCCCAAACTAAGCAAATCTTGTACTATGGGTACCATATATAAATTTTTGTAGATAAAGGAACAAAGCCCGTATAGCTCAGTGTCCGGGCGCTCGCCGTTTTTTACTTCCTATTTATTTTACTGGAGCAAACTGAGTTCGGTCCCCGGTGCCAGCACCAATGAAATCAAACTACGCCGATGGCGTTTGATCGTCTCAGTTTCGGTGCGCCTGTGTAATATCTATTTGTATATTACAACTAGCGACCCGCCACAAATGGTGCAGTGTTTTATACATATAAACCTTCCTCTTTAATCACTATCTAGTATAAAAACCGCATCAAGATCCGTTGTATAGTTTTAAAGGTCTAAGCATACACAGGGACAGACAGCAGCGGGACGACTTTGTTTCATACTACGTAGTGATGTAGTTCATATTATTCTATTCATATTATTATACCTTTTCCAGAGACCCGCCCCAGCTACGCACGTTGCATCCGTGCAATTGAAATGTATTAAACAAAATTATAAACCTTCCTCTTGAATCACTCCATGTATTAAAAAAAACCGCATCGAGATCCGTTGTGTAATTTCAAACATCTAAGCATACGTAGGGACAGACGGACAGCAAAAAAGACACTGGCCGTACCAAAGGGAGATTAAAGAAGGTCCACCCTCGTCGACCACAGCCGGGCATGGAGTTCGTGCTGACGTACTACGACGAGCCGGCGGTGGGCGGGATGCCGGGCGGGGTGGCCGCGTGGGCGAGCGGCCGCGCCGCGCCCGCCTACCTGGCGAGGATGCGACGCGCCGCGCGCGACTACTGCCAGTGGGCGGCCGGCGCGCCGCGCGATCGCCAGGTGAGGGGGGGCGGGAGAGAGTAGGGGGGGGGGGGGGTGCGGGAGAGAGGAGGGGGGGGGGGCGCCGCGCGTAGGCCAGGCGAGGGGGGGGTGTGGGGGGTGATGCCGCGCGTTGGCCGGGTGAGGGTCAGGGACGGGGGGGTGACGTCGTGCTTACGGTCGCTCTCTGCCGGCTAGGGATGTCGGCGGTGGCGATATCAATATAGTCCGTAGTCCTGAAACGGTTGTCGATAATAATAAGGTGTGTCAAGTATTATATCGATAAATATTTGACACCTACGGACTCTACGCCGTTTCTGTTACGATGTTCAATATTGAATATTTTGTATCCATTAAAAAAAAAAATAGTAAATATGATAATGCCTGTGAATGTCCCGCTGCTGGGCAAACTGCTCTGTACAGAGGGTATCAGTATATTTGTTATTGTTTCGAAAATATGCAGGTTTCCTCACGATGGTTTCCTTCACCGCAGAGCAAGTAATATTTAGCACTTAAAGTTAAAAACTTCATTGGTGCCGGCACCGGGGATCGAACTCAGGTTGCCCGAGCAAATTGAATTAAAGGCGAGGGCCCGGACACTGAGCTATCAAGACACATTTCTATTTATCAGACCAATATATGTCGGCTGAATATATCGATATTTAGAATAAAAAATATCGATATACTTTTTTGACATCCTTACACGTGACACTGATTCCAGTAAGTCAAGTAGGAGACAGTTTGTTTTCGGCAACTTAAGTAGGTGGTACAGCGTAACTGTCGTAGAACCACGCAACAGCATTCGCCGTTGCACGAATGGGCAGGTCCGTCCGGGTTAGTACCACGACCTCACAGAAGACCGGCGAGTGAGGTAGCCGGGGCCCACTTCATCAAAAGGTAGGCAGCGCATCTGCAACAGGTGTTGCAAATGTCAATGGGCAGCGGTGCTCTCTTAACATCAGGCGAATCGCCAGCTCGTTTGCCACTTTCTCACGTGAAACGGCTGCGAAAATGTGAGGCAGTTTGCGGTCGGAGTAATACTTACCGTACGCGTTAATGTTTTCAATGTCCAGAAATAAAGCGGCCCATAAAATATTATTTATTTATTTATTTATTTAAAGGACACCAGCAGTACATGCATTTCACGTTTAAACAATAATATTACAAAAAAAATAAAAATTCTGATGTATGTACCTTATTAGGTGACACAGCATTGTTTCAGCTAAATATAAGAATAATCAAGAACAATAAATGCAAAAAATATTTAACAGCAAATAATTTCAGTAAAATTAAGAAAAATAATAATTAAAGAATTACAAGCAAAAATTCAAATAGAAAAATAAGTTAAAATTTAATGATATTAAAAAAAATCGACATTAATTAAAACTTATAAAATACAAATAAATTTCATGTTTACAATACAAAAATACAGAATGAATACAATAATCTAAATTAAAAACGAATTATCTGATTAATAATAAAAACATTAACGGACATGACTCAGTATTAATTTCTTGAATTTTATAAAATTTAAAAAAAATGGAAATAAATCCATTTGGGTAGGTCTTCACAGATGCCATTGTAAGAATTACAGAAACGCGTAAACGGGAGCATGCAAACCCAAGTTACTTTGATTAGGATAAGTTTTAGTGAGAACGGCTTGCGAAATGGTGAGGCATTTTGCATCGGAGTTTTCACTGTCCAGAATCAGCGGCCCCACTAAATATGAGTTCGTGGGGTCGTAATTTAAAGGACACAGCAGTCATGGGTTTAACATTAACTATTGAGAATTGTACCTTATTAGAGGAAGTGGACAGACATATGTTTCACGCAATGAGTGAAGAATAATCAAGAAAAGGGAATAAATGCAAAAAAAGTGACACAGATAACGGAGTAAATTAAGTCGATAATGAATTAAAAATACGAGCAAATTCAAATAGAAATAAGTTAGATTTAGGAGGGGGGATCGGGATTAAAGTAGATCGACATCATGACAACTTATAAGGGACAAATAATGGTTCATGAAGGGGACCAATACAAAAATACAGTGAATGGGGAGAATTGCTCACGAGATCTAAATTAAAAAAGTGGGGATTATCTTATTAATAATAAAGTACATTAACGAGGCAAGGGATGACTCATATTTACTTGAATTTTAGATAAAATTAGATGGTATCAGTTTGGGTAGTTCTTCACAGGGGGGGATGGCCATTGTACATAATTACAGAACGCATGGACAAGGAGGGAGCATGTGAACCCAAGCTTGTTATGGGAGAGTTTTGATGAGAAGGCGCCGGGGGAGATTGTAGGGAACGGCTAGGGCAAAGTTACTTAGTACTTCACTGCATGAGGTATGACATGCATATGTATAATTTTATGTAGCATTAATAGGTCGTGAATTGTCCTTCGATCCTTTAATGTTGGCATATTAAAAAATTCAAGCCGGTATTTGAGTATAGTTATGGGACAAATGGTTGCAAGGGCATGATGTAATCATTCTTCAAGTCGCCGTTGAAAATTTTGGCGAGCGTTATCAAACGGCGGAAGTTTAGAAACAAATTCTGAGCGAATACATCCATAGTTCGCCTTATGCGCATTGAAATAGAGTTCATTTCTCCTTCACAGGAAATGCCCGACTTCACACCCTTCGACCCGGGCCGAGTCGACGAGCGAATCGAGGATGTGGACGAACAGATCAGCGAACAGGATATGGAGGTGAATTTTTGTTTTTGATGTGAAAAGGTGGCAAGCCGGTTCACCAGATGTTAATTTCGGCTGTTGCACGCATGGGCAGGCTCGTCCGGGTAAGTACCACGACCTCACAGAAGATCCGGTATAAAGTGGAAGTATAATAATTTCGCGTTTCATCTGGAGAGTGAGGTGGCCGGAACCCAATTTTCAAAAGGTTGTCAAAGCATCTCCAACCCTCGGGTGTAGCATATTCCATGGGCGGCGGTATTCACTTAACATCAGGTGAACCGTCTGCCCGCTTGGCAATTTTTCACATAAAAAAAAAGACAACCGACGCCCACAGTTAAATAAAATTGAAGTGTCTGTTTGTAATATCAAAATAACTGCTTTTTACTAAATGCATATGGATGTATACATGTCACATATAGCAAAATAACATTTTTTACATACATACATTGTAACGTCAATTCAATTCCACGCGCACAAAGTCGCGGGGCACAGCTAGTCTACAATATACTAGAGCAATCAGAGTTGAAGTCCCGGTGCAGAACTAATGAAAATAATTTAATCATAAGCTAATTAAATAGTTTTAAACTGCTGACTTACGTTTAAGTGCTCAGCGGTTAAGGAAAAACATCGCGAGGTAACCTGCAAGTTTTCTTAATAAAACTAGACAAAATATATCGAAGATATGTGAAGACTGCCTATCCACAGTGGAGTCGTGTGGTGTACTATGCCCTAATACCATCTGTATAGATGAGGCCTTTGTCCAGCAGTGGGATATGTATAGACCGTTACTTTACTTACATTTACTAGAAGTCAAAGTATATTTATTCAATATAGGCTTAACTTAAGCTCTTATTGAACGTCAACAAAAAAACTACCACCGGTTCACTAAACTAGACCTTAACAGAGAAGAACCGGCAAGAAACTTTGCGGTCTTGTTCTTTTTGTTATTTTTTTTATGCATTTATACACACTTATTTAGGTATAAAATCAGCAGCGGACAGGGGTCTTGCAAGTGCAGAGCAAGAGTCATTTCCACACATCATTGTCCTCAATGTATTCTTGGACATTTTAGTAGGCCCTTGCCATTAGGGTAGCTTTTACAAATTGTTTGAAATTGTTTATACTCAGTTGTTTGAAAAATTTTCTGATCATAAAAATTATGTTAAGAGTGTCAGCGATTTCAACGTAGACTTTATTTCGCAGTCGTCGAAAGACGGGCCCGAAATGGAGACCAGCGAACGGACGAAAGACCAAAGCACCCAAACCGATGACCTCCAGTTCGCGACGGTGGATGTAAAAGAAGATGAGAAGGAAGAGAAGAGAGGAGAAAAGATTGAAGCCGCAACGGATCGAACTGAGAACGAAGATAACAATACCACAGAACGAATGGAGCCCAAAGCTGAGAGAAATTATGTAGAAGTTAAGAGTAAAGAGAAAAGTGTAGAAGCTGTAGAAAATAAGAGATACGAAGAGAAGAACGGAGTTCAAGCGGAGACGGTAACGAACAATTGTACAGAAACGAAGGTGTGTATTTAAAAGACAAACTAGGTGTAGATTTCAATTGACACCAAACTCGGTTTGATAGGATTTTTTCCAATCTATGTTTAATATTTTTCCGGTTTCGTTCCCAAAAAGTACAACGGGACCCTATGACCAGACGCCGCTGTCTGTCTGTCCGCCTGTCACCTAGCTGTATCTTAGGAACCGTGATAGTTAGTTGAAATTTTCACAGACGATGTATTTCTCTTGTCGCTACAACAACAAATACTAAAAAACAGAATAAAAATATATTCAGGTGCGAATGCGGCAGCGCCGAAAGTTTTTATTCATTTATCTACACAAGTTGACATTTTAAAAGTTTTACCTTGAGTTTAGACTAGCACAAAAAATGTAAAATTAATCTTAAAAAAAAATATACAAAGTCCGCCAATTAAGTAGGGTCGTGTGGTCGCCGTGACTTTCTAACTTTTTTTTCTTATTTGGTATTTCACACAGTTTAATGCTTTCGAAAAGTACAGAGCACCCTGATCATTGTCCAAACCTGCATTAAGTATTATTCCAGTAGTTACTTTTCGTCTATCTTTAATGGATCCAAATTGGTGGCCACTCGTAATACCAACCACTTTAATTGTCAATTATCTATAAACGAGCAATTCTTGTATATACAGCGTGTCGTTACCATCGCGACAATAAATGAACACACGTCTATCGCTACTTGCCAATAATCATAAAAAAATATTAACGTAAAACAAAATCCATAATTAAAAAAAAATATTTTTCAAACAAACTAAAATTTGTAACATCCACAACGTCGCATTACAAGCCTCTCCTTCTAACAGTATGTTTCGTCTCTTTTAAATTCATTGAACCCATTCATATGCTTTGGGACCTTTACAAATGAACTTTACGTTACGCCTTTATAGGTGAGGGTGTTCTAAAATTCTTTGTTTTGGAAAATTTAATAACTCTGTAAATATTGATGTTTAAAGAATTTAAATGTTTAATACAACTTTAAAAGTTATCCCCTATATGCGTGTTCATTTATTGTCGCGATGGTAACGACACGCCGTATATTTTGTTTTCAACCGACTTCAAAAACGGAGGACGTTCTCAATTCGACTGTATTTTTTTTATGTTTGTTACCTCAGAACTTTTTTATCATTCTTTATTTGAAAGCTGGTGCTTCCCATGTGGTCCCATATTAGTTTCACTGGTATTGGATCGTGGACTCCGGAGATATGTATGCAACTCCTGAAAATCAATTGTAAAATGAATACAGGGCGAGATGTTTGAAGTCGATTTTGTTAAAGTCGTCATCTATCGATCTCTCCGGGTTCCACTGAAAATCGGCAATCGCGAAAATTTTTTCTCCTTTTTTGCGATGTAATGCTGAGTGGTGACCTTTTTGGTACATTGTTTTCAAGTTGTGATTTCTAAATTTTAATTGTTATTTTTATTTTGTTTTTTTTTTTCTTTTTTTTTTCTTACATTTTAAAACATTGCCCTTACTTTAGGATAACATTATCCTGTGTTGTAAGGACATTTTACAAATTTTTTAACATTTTTTTATTTTATGTTTTGTTTGTTATGTACCAAATAAATATTTCTTTCTTTCTTTATTGTTACTAAAAAAATGACTTGTTGACAATCAATAAGATAATATTCGCGTTACGATTAATTATTAGTTAATTGTGCATGCTTTATATTGTGTTCTTTTGGTTTTTTAATCCTTTTTACCGTTTCAGGAAACCGCTTCTTGTGAGGGAGACGAAAACAATGGGACTTGGTGGAGATATTTGTATCCGTTTTATTACTTTGTATGAATTGTTGGGTAGTTTGTATGTGCACATTTTGATGTATGAAATTATGAGGTTAGGGAATTTGATCGGCAAGAAAATTTCTAAAGTGTTCAACTGAACTAGGTTTTTTTTATTTTTAGGTTCTGGTAAATAAAACGAGCCCGGAAGGTAGAATTATAAGTAAATAAAAGAAAGTGGTCAGTCATCAGAGCAAAAGCAAGCTGAAGGTGTATTCACATTGGAGTAACGATTAAAAAAAAATAATATAAAAATTTTTATACTGCTAATCTCTGCATTTAAGATGAAACATTAAAATTTGAAGAAAAAAATGGACGAAAAGTTATTATATACACCGCTGCGGGAATGGAACCCACGCCTTCCAGACTCGCGCCCACATTTTTTTTTTATTTTCTACAAATTCCTATGTTTCATATTAATTGCAGAGATTAAAAATACATAATTTAAAGTCTCATAATAAATAATTCATTTCATAATTCTTTAGCATTACACATTGCGTTGCTTGAAATAGTATAATATATGAGGATAAAGAATACGATTGCAAAATTGTTAAAAAAGCAAAATGTACCTACTTTTTAAGAATTGATGGACTTTTAAGCCATTATTATTATTACTACGTACTATAACGTGTATATAGTTTAACGTCTTGGGATTTCTCCATACGGACTAAACATAGCTATACCGCCATTTATCTAACAATTAGTGGCGAATTTACTATTTACATTAATTTCGGCCAACAGTCATTCACTTTCTTCACAGACACGCATTTTATGCAATCTTTTTATATATGTTTATACAAAACCGAAGATGGTTACTATATAATTAATAAACTATTGACATCTCATATTAAGTAATATAATTAACGCAATTTAATGAAATCAATAAATTTTATGGATGGATTGATGAACAGAAAGTATCTGATTCTTCGACCGATTAAAATAATTGCCATATAAACGTCAATCTTACCGCCATTATTTGTTTGGTTTCTGCCATTTTAAAAATATGGCGGTCAAGAATGTACAAGTGTCGGCTGTATTACATAATTTTCTTTGTTTAATGGATAAAGAAATTTATGTATATTAACTATTATACATTTGATCAAAGACGCAGCCTGAAGTTGTTATTATAGATTAAGCATATTAATAATTAATTATACATTATATAAATCAAAGACTCAATTTAGAGATCGTGTGTCGACACGAACTACTTAGCTGATGAATATTTGAAATTGAGATTCTTTAGAATTTACTTAAAAATTATATTGCGACCGCCATGTCCAAGTCTTAAAACAAACTTTTTTATTAGAATGAAAGAAATATTTTTCACTGATAGAATAAAGAAAAAACATATTATTACCGAAAATATGTTTCTAGAATCTAGATATTTTTTAGATCTTTATTCAATTGCCATACATTTTCATTTAAAAATGCAGTATAAAATTTTCTATGTGTATGTCAACACCTAAAGAGCCGTGATAGCTCAGTGCCCGGGCGCTCGCCTTTAATTCAATATACTGGAGCAACCTGAGTTCGATCCCCGGTGCCGGCACCAATAAAGTTTACTTTAAGTGCTGATTTATCACGTGCTCCGCGGTGAAGGAAAACATCGTGAGGAAACCTGCATATTTTCGAAATAATAACAAAAAAAAAATATTTCGAAGATTTGTGAAGTCCGCCAATCCGCAGTGGGGCCGCGTGGTGGACTATGCCCTGATACCCTCTGTATAGAGGAGCCCTTTGCCCAGCTGTGGGACATGTATGGGCTTTTACTATGTCAACACCTAAAGAGGGATG